TCTGTTTCCACTTGACATTATCCACCTTCAAAGTTAGAAAGTTATGAAGCTTGCTGCCAAGCATAAGTCAATAAATAAACAAATAAAGAAAATATTGTCAAGCTTGATCTCAAAGGTCACAGGAAGGAGGCGAGTGCCATGCTTACAGCCTTCTCCTTCTCCTTTTCAGTCCTCCTCAAATGCTAAACCACTGTGCCCTGCCCCGGGGCGAGCAGGGAGCCCCTGCAGGAAGCAGCTGAATTCAGAGCCTCTTCAAGACTATGAACTGAATTCAACCCTGCACGTTAATGTAACCAGTCCAGGAGAGACAAGTTGAGGAGAGAGTTGTAAATAATTTGGTGACCACCAGCCGCTGTGATGGAAATTCCAGCTCACCACAAGCCCTGTCCCACGAATGACCAGGGCTAATCTGGGGCTGTCCCACACATATGGCAGCAGTGCAAGATAGGTTCCCAAACGTTCCCCAGCCATAGCAGCTCACAAAGCAGCTGCCCAAGGACAACACACAGGAGAAAAAAGTAAAAGTTTCTTGCCTTCAGTCTGGATGATGCCATGTAATGATGGAGAAGGGGGCACCTCGAGCTGTCCCACCACTGTGATGCAGAGCACACCCCAGAGCAGGTGCAAGACAGAGACCTTCTCCCTTCCCACCATAACTGTAGCTCCCCAAAATATTCTCTCCAGCTGGCTCCTGCTCACGGCATCCCACATCTATCAGGATGCAGCAGCAAGTCTGGCACCCTCCATGCTCTCAGCCTCTTTACCAAAAGCATCTGAGAGAAGTACCATCACCACCCCAAAAACGCAGGAAAAGAGACTGCAGGATTCATGCAGACAATTTTGAAAAGCGAGGAGCATTGCACCCTTACAGATTAGCTGGAGTGGCAGGAGCTGAAATGACATTTATATCGTGGCTTGGCCAAACCAGACACTGCAGTTCAAGGGTAGAGAGCAAGGTTTGGGTAAGAATGTGAATGTTCATTCATGTCTTTGTTCTCATTCAGGAACATGAAGGCTGTAACAACCTTACAACTAACGCTACACCACGCATTGAAATTGCCAAAGTTTGTAAAATCTGATTTACTCTGTGAGGGGGAAGGGGAAGTCATTTAGTTTGAGTCATAAGAGGTCTTGATAAAATCTAAGCTTCATCACCTCTGAAGAAACAGCTCACTCCCTGGACGGATATCTAAAGGCTGTTGTGTACAGCCTTGATAACACAATAGCAGAGAACAATTCCTAGTGCTGAAGATTACAAGATTTTTGTATCAGCTGCTCTTCAGTACAGCTTCTCTCACATTACACCACCTGATGGGCACTCCAGGTTTATGGTTAGCTCTTCAGGGGTCCATGGCTCTGAAAGTAAGAAGATACAAGCTTTGCAGAGGTTTTTTTACAGTACGAGTATAGTTAAAAAAAAATTGTGCAGCCCCAGGCATAAGTAACAATGTCAATCTACCTGCCTTTCCCTGCCTGAGGTTTTCACTGTCTGGGGCCTCATCTGCTGCTCTAGGAGTCAGAGAGTCTGCAACTCTACTGCATGTGAAAGAAGGCAGGCAGGAGGGCTCAGGGTAATTCTGCCTTTGTGCCCCTAGCAAAAAACACAGGGACTGGGTGATACCTGCACTGGCCTGCAAGACTGCTGGCTCACAGCCCTCCTTTCTGTGGCCCAAGTCCCATCTGGGCTTCATGAAGAGGGATGATGCTCAAAGACCCACAGGTAGAAGAAAAGAAAGCTTAAACTCAGCAGGGTACAAAATTTTATTCCCTGCCTTGGGTCCTAAGGTTGGGGAGGCCTTTTTATTACTGATGACATTTGTTTCTGGAGAGGAGAGGAACACGCGTCCGTGGGAGGGAAGAGCCGACTCTGCCACACACCCCATGGGGCTGTGTAAAGTAGCTTAGTGGGAGAATTTTTGACACCTCCTTGTGCTGGAGTAAACCCAAAAGTGTGGGCCAAGAGTCTTGCAAGAGCCTCCCCTGGGGAGACATGGGAATAGCACAGCCAACTCTGCCTCTCCACAAGAGCTGCTCTCCAGCACTCCCGCAGCCTCTGCTAGAAACTGAATTCACAAATGGCACAGAGATGCAAGGGACCAGCGGGGGGAAAGGGAAAGGTCAGCCAAGGTTGCTACCACTATGGCCTACCCAGAGCAAATGGCAAACAAGAACAGACCCCTGCAGAGCAGCACTGGGGAAAAGCCAATGCATGTGTTGCAAATGTTCCCCCACGCTCATTGTCTCCTTTCTGCTCTTAGAAGAATGGATGAGAAAAACAAAACCTACTTTGTGGAGAGAGACACTAAGGAAGCCATAAGTAGAGAGAGTAATTGATGCAGGTTGTACTTTGGACAGCCATTTCCATGTGCCTGCATACCAGTGTATATAGATTATTCCTACTACCATAGGTGAGCAGCACCAGACACAGGGGGGTGAGATGCTGTTTTATTAGCAGTCTGCTGTGGCAAGAAAAGACATCAGGTTTGAGCTCCTGTACATTCTCCTGGGGAGCCTGCAGCACCAATGTGTACCTCCAGCGTTTTCACTTAGTAGGTAGGATATCACTTGGTCTTGTCACAGATAACAAGCAGTTTTGACACACATGCAGAAGATGTGCCTTCAGGGTGGCAGCCCTGGTGGTCCCATGTTCCTACTTTTTCAGTCAATTCCTTCACATCACATCCACACCAGCTGTTCAGCTGCTCCCATCAGTGAATTTGCTCAGCAAACAGTAGTTTTGCAAAGAAATCACTCCAGCAATGGAGGCTGGGATGCTGAATGGTACAGCTGCCTATAGCTGTGTGTACTGAAATGACAGCACTGTAGACAGAGGTCTCAAGACATCAGTTAGGTCATACAAAGCTGACTCCACAGTACCCCACAATGATACAGTACACTGCAGATGCTGGGGCTGAGGGGGGGATAGCTCTCCATAGGAGAGACTCATTGGATCTGAGGAGAACAAGCCTACACATCGTTTTTGCTGTAGCAGTCACTTTCCACCAGCTCATGGTTGCTCCTTGCCTTGACTGTACAGTATGACTACCAGCAGTGGGCACATGCCCACCTTCCGGCATGCAAGTCTGCAGGTATAGTCTGTAACAAATGTGAAATATCTCCTGTGATGGAGGCCAGCTGTGCTAGCAACATAACCAGTAGCACCACCAGACCACTACTTAGTGGAAAAATGACTCCCTCTCCAGTGCTCAGACACTCTCAAGAGGCACTCTGAAGCTGCAGGGATGACTGCAGGCCCATGATATGGTATTTTTCTAGCACTCAACAAGCAGATGGAAGTTTGTGACTGGTTTCTCCCAGCCAAACTTCCTGCAGAGGGATGACTAGTTTCCAGAGCCTTAAACAGACGTGTGACCACAGCCAAATGCCAGATGGCTGGAAAGAGTATTGGTGCAGCCCTCGTGACGAATGTCTAGCCTTGGCTGCCAGCATCACGTACCATATGTATCAGCTCCCAGATAGGACGCCCCGGCTGCAAGTTGGGAGTGTGACATGGGGATGTTACACAGCACAGTTTTTAGTGATGCCATCATACAATGGGGCAGATAGAAGAAAATTTTTCCTTTCACTCGCTTCCTTCGCTGTGCAAAGGGATCTGCTTCAAAGGTCCTTTTATTGATGGTGCAGCTGGAAAAAGCCATTCCAAAGGCAGGACCACCTAGCTCTGTGCAGGCCTCCTGTTGAGCAGGTGATACAATATTTGCTTCAAGAGACACAATTTTTGTGTAATTCTCCCAACAGATGACTTCAGGGAATGATGAAGCATTGAGGTCTAGGTGGGTACTGTGGTTTGTGCTACTTAACCAACTGTGGGCTTGTGGTAGGGAAGTCAATGCTTGCAGTTGGAAGGGCTACAAAGTTACAAGTCTACTTCAAAGCCTCATGCAATGGATTTACAGTTACTACGTCCCCAGAAGCATCCACAACAGCAGAGCCTCTAAGCACCCCGGCGTTTTGCTCTCACTTGTACCCAGTGTACAACCAAGGGACTTGTATCTGCACTTGATTTATGGCACAGCCATTATGCAGGCTGACGCCTGTAATGAAGAACAGAACACAAGTGGAAAGGAAAACAAGAAAACAAAGGAAAAAAGCCTCCGTGTGGCATCACTCTATGCAAACCACCAACTCCAGCTGCAGTTTCATGATCTCTTTATGCTGATCTAACTCTGGGCTGCCACTGAAACAATCAGCCCTAACCTTCCTGCCCGCCCTGTCACAAGCTGGACCAGGGAAATTGAATGCCATTTTACAGTTCTTTAATCAAGTTCCTTTTCATTTGAATCAATTACTTGAGGTGGCATACTGCTCAGCCCCCCCAAGCACAGGAGGCAGCAGGAGAGCAGGCTCAGCACCAGCAATTCACACCGAAGTTAGCTAAAAGCTCTTGTCTTACAGCAACAGCCTCACAGCGCACCAGTCTTAACCTGCCTCAACGTATTCTCACTTGCACATTGACACAGCTTGCAAAAAGCACAGCCAGTTTCAAAGATATTCAAATGCATATGCCACATCAGCTACATACAAATCAGTGATCTGCCCAGACTGAATTCATTTATGCTTTAGTCTGCGAGATGCTTACGCGAGACATGAAATGAAGCTAGGACTTCGCAGATTCCTAATGAGAGTGAGCATGGGTGAGAAACAGCTGGCAGACAATTTATAACAACCAAAGAACCCCCCAAAAGATGGCTTCCTATTTCTTTTAAAAATAATTTTGTGGCTGTTTTTATTTTCAAGAAATATGTACACTTGGGAGAATAAAGCTGAGGGGTTTTTTAGCCCCATTGATGTCTAAGTGGCAATTTCCAAATGCAAACCTCAGTCACGGGACAGCATTTAATCTGTATCAGAAGAGCACTCTGATCCCTGGATGGGATTTTGGCACTCTAGTCCATTAACTTATATTTACATTCCAGAGGTGAAGGTTGGTTCAGAGGAAGCCTGAAGATTGGAACAAGGCAGAAACATTTATCACTTTGTCACGTGGAATGGTGCTTAGTCCTTCTGGGAAGTTCAAGTCTCTGTGTAGTTAGCAGCTGGGCCAGTCCATTCATCAGCATCATAAATATGGTTAACGACATCACCAGAACGTAGTGGCTAATGCTGCAAGGAGGAGACAAACAAAAGAAGTGAGAGAAAAATGCAAATTTGCACAGTAAAAAAACCCATGACATAAAAAACCCTCTGAATATTTATTTTTTCTTTTTAAGTAGGCCTAATTATTGGCCTAGTATGTGATTTTATATATGCTGCTCCTAGAAGACAACTATTACAGCAGCATCATCATGTAAAACCCAAAGTCTGTGACAAAATAAAATGGTGGGGACAATACAAAACACAACTGAGTGTCTATCAAGTGAATAAGAGGTACTGGGTGTATTTTTCATTCAAGTGGATAATTCAACGTATGTGACTGAAGCCACTGCAAAACTTCCATTTGCTGTGAACTGATAATGCAGAATCTAGGGAGAACTTGCCATCAGGTAAACATTCCTTGGTAGTAAGATGACTCAGATATTTATCTCAGCTGAAGTGCAATTTTCTAGAGAAAACACTATTCCAGTGACAAGCAGCTTTAAGAAAAACCCCACTTCTTTTTCACTCAACATTTCTAAAAATCACAGAATTCTCTGCTGTGGTAACACATGGTTTCAAAGAGACGGAACAAATGATTGCAAGAGTGGCTAATAAACACAATATGACGATGCAGCGTCTGGGTTAGGAAGCCCTTATCGTTAAAGATTAAAAGGATAACAAGCAGAGAATTTGTTCTCCACTTGCTCAAATTCTAGTCCCTGATGTTCACTGGCGTTACAGATAAGCTATTTAGGGTCAGACTGAGGCTGGACCTAGATATTCAGCATCCTGTGTTCAATGTCTGAATCAACCTGCTGTTAATGTGAACCACTAGCCATTAAGAAATTACAATTTTTCCAAATCCAGTGACATTTCAGGCTAGGGTTGCAGATGAAACACAGCTGCACCCATGTCCATCACGCATCCAGTGCAGCTGTTTGGTTTTTTCCTGGGACTACTGAAGGTACTGCTGTTCTGACATGAGAGGTACCCATTCCTCCTGATGCACCCATACCCACTATTTCAAAGCAGATGGCTCATAGGACGAGTAGGGTAACTTCAGACTCAACGAAGTCTGAGTTTAGTCCCAAAAAAGGATTCCAAGGAGCACTTGCCAGTTTAATGACCTGGAATTTCTGCCAGAGGACTCATTCAGTTTGAGAGTTCAGCCACAGAAGAGCAGTAAAGTTCATAATACTGACACTATCAATCCTCATGACCCCGAGACTGTGACAACCCTGGCAGTAGTCTAGCACAATTTAGCTCTGTGGAGAAGCACAAGCTCTTAACAAAGCTGGGCTGCTAACCAGGGTGAGAGAACAAAAGTAATCCAGAAAGTTCACTAATGAACGGGAGCTTTTCTACAGCCAGGATACCAGCAATGAAAGGAGCTGTGGTCTGACCAAAGTAGATGGAGAACACTGAAAGGGACTTGATTCATGCTACAAGATTTTTCTGTTTCAGTTGAGTCTGACTAAACCTTCTCACAAATACCTTATTCAAAATACATACATTTAAGAAATCAATTACAAAAATCCACCAGCATAAATGGACCCAGACTTCAACAAGCATAATCCACCCCAACAGTCTGCAGCTTGCAGCTGTGTAAACTCCCACCTGTATGCAGCACAACTGAAAATATTCACTAATGTTAACAACTCAAGGTTTAAAATATCAGACAGGAACCATCTTTCCAACATGCCTTTCCTATAAGCATCTCCCCCCTCCAGCTCTAGCTAAGAAGAGCGGCACGCCTACGAGAGCCATACTCCTGCCCTGTTTCTGTGGGGAAGTGTAAGAAAACACAGCGAGAGCATGAAGTCGGGCACAAAGCCTGCTTTCACCTGGACGATGCATTTCGGACTTTGTAGTTCACAGTACATTTACAATAACAAAGATAACACAAGTTCCTCAAGGGCTGTCCTTGAAAGTCCACCTGGGTGCGTTACAGGTTCGGTTTCAGTTCTCCACGGGAAAGGACATGTTGCCAACTGAAAGTCAAACCGTCATTGCAGTTATCTTCATGGCATAATGTGCCCTTGGGGACGGTACAAGCACCACAGGTACAGAAGTCTGCATGGCTCTTAAGGGAACAGCCACTCTGGTAAATAGCTGGATGGCTTACCGTCTCATGCATTACTGGTAACACCTCAGCTTTCCTTCTCACCTGGCACCAGAACTGTAATTTTTCATCTAAGTAGCAACACCACTTTCCTTCTAGCTTTCAAAGAAAGTTTGAATGAGAAATCTGAAAATCAGAAGCCAAATGAAGACCCTGTCTTTATTCCTACAGACAGCCTGAGACAGTCACCAGAGGATCAGCAACTTGCTGCCATCGGCATGGTCCTCACACAGACATCTGAGTTCCTGTCTGCCCCAAAAGGAGATTTTCAGATGTGTGTTGTGTGTGCCACTCCGTGATTTTGGGGGGTATAAAGAGAGGCCTTCTCAAAGGAAAAAAGTCTCCACAAACTCTGCTTAGCTACCTGTCAGTAGAGGGACTGGGTCCTTCGTACTTTCGTAAAGAAGTGTGCTGCACATATTTCTCCCTTGCTATACTGCAAAAAGGCTGAATAGTTATGCTCCTTTATTAAAATATCAGATGTTCAGAGTAAAGAAATATATTTATCTATTTTGCCATACAGCACAATTAAAAACAATTTCAGTCTACTTGTCACATAATTACAAACAGCCAGCGTCTCTGGGGCTATCAGCAACTGGTACTGCTGCCTGCAGGCAGCTCTGCTTGGTAAATTAGTTCTCAGGCTGGGGTAATGCTGTAATTAAACAAACAAACAAAGCAAGACTCTTACAGGTACATGCCACAACAGCAGTGGCAGAATCTTGATCCCCGTACAACCCAGAACTGCACCTTGATTGGATCTGTAGTTACAGTGAAGGAGGTAATTCTCAAAACAAGCTTCCTCCATCAGAAATCAAACCTGAGCTAGTAAGAAAAAGGAGCAAGATTCTAGGCTCCAGGCAAGTTAGATCCATGTGGAGGACAAAGAAACATTAAACGGTTAGAAGAGAATAGCATAGTGGGGCAATGCTTATAAAGGACGAGATGGGCAGGGATAGGTAATGGTAGAGAAGAGGTATCTGGTGCAGGGGATCACAGGTGATCTAAGGTAAGGCAGCACTGTTCAATGGAAAAGCAAGTGCCCTATGTATGGATCAAGGTCAACAAGCAAAGATGGTGCTAGAAAAATTTTTTATCAGGAAGGAAGACACCTGTTTCTGTGGTCAGGAACCAAAAGGAGAACATATGAGGTACTACCATCTCCTCGCTTTGAGTGTACATCAGTGAGAAGTACTAATCAAAGACAAGAATCAAAGATCAGTAAAAAAGGGGGGGGGGGGGGGGAATCGATCTTGCTCCAAAACATGGCTTTCTGCCAAGACAGGCTAATTCCTAAAATGGCAGACCTGATTAGAAGCTGGAAAGACAGGAAGATGGAGTAAGTTACCATAGCAATTAAAATTTAATAGTCAGACTGAGAAGCCCCAGCATCCCAAACCTGAAATCGATTCTGTTATCCCAAAACCTAACATCCCCCCCCCCTCCAAGTCTCATGTGCTTAATCCATGTCCCCTGAACTTTGAAACTGCAGAACAACAGTTAAGATTGTATCTTTATTTTCCAGCAACCGTTATAAAGGGAGGAAGGAAGTAGTAGAGTATGTGTCTGTATAAAACTATATTAATACTATTACATAAAGAAGCTTTAGGGTTTATCTTGACTATCTCGATATACAGCTATTTACAAATTGCATATATGGTATAGATATAGCAGGTTTTAAAGGCTATATCTATCTATAGAGATCTATAGATACAGACAAACATACCTTCTAAGCCATAAAGAAATTATTTTAGTGACAAAGAAACCAAAAAGCTAGCTATTCCATTTGTCTGTTATTGAAAAATAAAAGAATCTGTCAGAACAGTCTTCTCATGATCATGTACTACACACTGATACATCAAAAATACTAGGAAAATTGCATTATTATTTTTATGAAATGTAATGGTGTGTTCTTCTAGGGCACATGATGCAATTTACGGTGACCTCAAGATACAAAGGTAGAGAGTAAGGTTAGCTGACCTCAGAAGCTTGTGTAAGCCACTGCTACGAGTTCTGCATTCACTGCAAGATTATTATCCCGTTATTATATCAAAACAACGAGAAGCACTCTCTGAAAAACAAGTTCACATTGATTTTGGCATGACCATTAAGCAAAGGGGCTTTAAAACTTTCTAAGAAGCCATAAATATTTATGGCAATTGATAATTTACTGAGAGGAGGGAATCAATGGTGTGCTGACAATTTGCTGAATGTGGTAATACAGGACTGAAGGTTGGATCTGTTGTTGCTCAGCATTTCATTAATGGTCTGGAAGAGTGGAAAAAGTAGAAGTCTCTTTACATTCAAAGACAATACTGAAGTGGCATGGTGAATTCAACCGGGAGAATAAAGACATCACATTGTTAAGGCAGGTATGAGGCATGGTAAAATTATATATATTGTGGTTAAGGCATGGCAGAATGAAAAGTAAAAGCCAGGAGTTAGAGGTGAAATTAAAAAAAAAAAGGAAATATGTCAGTTCAGTATGAAACCCTACTTCCAAACAATGAGAGAGATCCACTAGGAAACAAAACATCACCATAAAAAAAGCAGTGAAGGTTGTCTTTTTATCGCAAGGGAGTTAAAAGCAGCTCCTACACATGAAACTTCTGAGCAATGGTATTGGAAAACCCACATATTACCTAATAAGGGTCTCCTACTGAACTTGCACATTCTTAGTAAGAAAGAGGACATACAAAAGTTTTGAAGCATGGTAATTAGAAAATCCATGGAAAGCAATCACCACAAAAAAAGAATGAGTATGGCAACATACATCAGAAGCTTAGCAAACGTGGCATGTATACCACTTGGTCTCTGACAGACTTGAGAGGAATGAATCTTCACTGGCCAATTAAATTGCTGCTTTTCCACCTGTGATCTCAATGACGTGGTAATTAGCAATATAAAATGAACCCTGATAATTGCGTGCGTGCACACACACACTTCCTATTAAAAAAAGGGGGAAAAAAAAATGACAGCAGCTGTCCCTAAGGGTGTTCCTATTCTCTGTTCCATGAAAACCTACACAGGTTTTGCCGAGACACAAACAGTTGGAAAAAAGAGAACCATCATTTCCTTAACTGACTCAGCCTTCTTGGGAAAATTTTGGCAAGACCTAAAATGTCAACTGAGGTGGGATATTTTCAAACCTTGCTGTCAAAGCAACAACAGACAACACTGCAATGGGAATGCCACAGAGCTGTCACTGCATTTGCAAGAGGAGGACAGGAAAGATCCATGTTAGTATCTCTCTCCCACTGGTTTTGGGAATTGCCCAAAACCCCATGATGCTCATCTTCCCTTTCAGGAATAAACAAACAAAGAAAAAAAAACCCCCAAAAAAATCTTCTGCTGTTGCTTGCTAATTTTGCCAAGCTTGAGGATCATACATTACAAATCTGCTCAGAGGAGAAGGTTCAGGTGCCAAAATATTGCTCATGCTAGGTAAAAGCAGGACCGCTTCAGCTCTGCACCTATAGCTTCATCTCTTTTCTTATGCAACCTAGTCATTTTTTATCTTATGTGCATATACACACACACATATAAAACATATATAATGAGACTACAATAAAATAACATAGATGGCAAAGTCAAGCACTCAAAAGTAAAGTACTAACAAATTTAAGGCTGCCTGAGCATTGTGCATTACTTCATTAAAAATTAATCACAAATTACTCTTTTGAAAGGACTTTTTTCAGTGCTTTCTTCAGTGCTCAAAACACAGACACGGAGAGGCAGAATTATGGTTCTGCATAATGAGCTCCCCTAAACTCTTTGGGTTAAGGCAAACTTCCAGCTGAAATGGATCCAACAATCTATCACCATCATAAATCTCTACCCTATGAAGACCATATATCAGAGAGGAAGTTTTTGGGTACTTGGAACAATTTATATTTTTGCTTGCTAACTCCCAATTAGAAGCTTCTCGCCCAGCACAACAGAGCTTTTATGAGGTCTTTAATATCCTTATTAATCTGCATAGGAATTCAAACCAAAGGATGAGGCCATCTGATTTACCATGAACTGATCATAGCCAGGAAGTGTGATGTTAAAGCATGGTTTCCACTATTTGATCTAACTGTATCTCCTCCCATTAGGAACCTTCGAAAGGTAGCTACAACCAGGAATTTGCACCTCCAAAGAAAACAGGCAGAACGCGTGTGCGCACGTGTGTACACGCATGCACGCACTGGAGGGAATGCTGGGGCTCAGCAAAGCACAGAGTAAATGTAAACTAAACAGAATATTAACAATGGGTCACTATTCAACTTCTGTTTAAATAACAGTGTCAAGTGACCAGATTGGCTGGATTACTAACAACACATTGCCTACTAAGCTTATTACAGCATATTATCTATTTCCACAACTCAGGGAAGGTAAATCTGAAATGTGTATTCCCTGTATTTGTTATTTCTGGTCTATTCACAAATAAGACTGCACAGTCGAAAATCTACCCCATGATGTATACTGTGGAGGCTAGTATGACTCATAATGCAAAATAAATTCTCTCATTTTAGCTGTGATTTCTATGTTTAAATGCTACAGACTTACTCTTCCCCAACTAGGGGGAGGATAAATGCATGGGTCTTGGTAGCCACCAATGTATTTGCACAAGGTTCATTAATTTACAGAGGATTTTATATGGAGGCTTAACTAGATTCAAGACAATTAACAATTTAGATAAATTGTTACTTTAACAGTGATTACAACTAATTAAAATTCAAAACAGTGATTAAAATATTTTTTGTCTAATTACTGTTCTTCAGAAATCAAACAAATCCTACTAACCGTATTTCTTGCCATGCTAGATTCATTACTTATTCCATGTTGCTCTGGCACAGATTTTAAGACACAAGTTTTAGCTTGGGATATGTATACATGCATGCACACATGCATGCACATGCATTTTAAGTATGGGGAACATCACTGAAGCATTTGATTAAGGAGACTAATTGGAAAAAATTACAAGAGTTCTGAGTAGATAAACAACAATATTAACCTATGAGCCCTTCAAAAACGCAATGGAGGCAAAAAAATACTGTACCTTGTTCCAATATCCAGCCAGCTTCCATAATCTTTAACCAAAAAGAAAAAATGCTAGGAAATAAAACAACTTTGATTAGTACATCAACATTGCACAATTTGAAACAGAAAATTAAAATCCATGTTTTCAGGCTGTTTACTCTAAGTTTCTAATTCTTCAAGTAGAACAAGGGCAAGACCTTTCCACAAATGCTCATTTGGACCAAAGTAAAGAATAGTCTAGGAGCCAGAAATAGATTTACCATGGTATCAAACACAAACAGCTAAAGATGGACTAAGTTCTGTCACACTGGGCTTGCAAGAAACAGAAGATTACCAGCACAGAACTTTTTCAATAAGAAAAGCCATGCGACCTTATTTTTTGAAATAATGGGATCTCAAGTAATGCCTACTGCCAAAGAGAAGGCTGTATATTGTTTTCATGGAATTCTGCCACAAATTACTTTAGGCAACTCTGTCAGTTCCCCACCTGTAAAACGGAAATAATGTTGGGAGAAGACAGCACTTGTCTATTAGTGAATCCTCCAAATTCAAGCTGGTGGCCACATTGACTCAAGACCACAAACCCGTTCTCTTCCATTTTTTTTTCCTGCCAACTTTCTCATTTCTTGATATACACACAGCTCCTGCATACCAAACCTCTTTGGTAATATTTTGTTTTGTACACCAAGTACATATTTGCTAATTATTTTAAAATAGTTAAACCAAAACAGGAGAATATGTGAGATATAAGGCCTGGATATACTGGGGCTTGCAGCACACCAGTACATGCCTGCACTCTTGTTTTGGTCTAGTTAGACTGATTTTATTAGTGAAATGCTATGAGTGTGGTTTATTGGTATTTTAATCCTTTTCCTCTGGAAGTTATCAAAAATCAGATTAGTCACACAGAACTATACCTTCTCCATTTCTCACTCTACAGTCAAATTAGTCATTATTTGGTCTTTTACTTGCTGTTTTTCCTGTCAGGTGAGATCCAGAGATCACACTGTACAAGGAAATCACATGAGGAATGCTTACTCCAAAGGGATGAAAATAAAAGAGCACATACGAAGTGAGAACACCAGCTCTACCTGCTGCTTTGAAAATGTTTCTGTTTACATTTTGACACGTAGTGGCATTGCTTGCTGGGTTGAAGACAGTTTGACGGGGCAACGAAAATGTACTTTTAATCTGTAAAAATTATGTTGCGGTATTGTTCACCTTTGGGTTGTTTTAGCTAGCTTCGTTTGTGGACTCAAGCTTTCTGAAGACAGCATTTCCTAAAAGCTTATTACAAAGGGCACAACGTATCTTTTTGGATGTTGCTGATCTCCTGGATTCTGACAGCTCTAACAGAGCTGGTGGGTAACGCATTTCTCCTTTTCCTCTCTTTTTCAAGGGAAGGTGGTGCAACAAAAGGTTCAAAATTCCTGAAAAATTAACTAAACCATGCACACAGCTAAAACTGATATTCTTATTTAAATTCTTCCTAGGAATTTGATTGGAAAGCACATGAAAAACTCAGAATGGTAACTTATTACTTCATTTTTGTCTCTTATTATTGTGAGAATACTGCTTCTTCAAAAGCATTAATTAGAAGAAATTCAAAGAGTGGTGATCGGAGGAGTTTTATCTCGAAATTATGCTAGTATTTCAAACCAATTCACTGCCCTAGTTACCAAAACTTTGAAGTCTGAAACAAATTCAGATCTCTCTAGATGGAATTAGGAGAACCCTCTGCTTCTTGATCTTACTTGAAGAGAATGTGCAACAACTTACCAAAGCCATAATGTCTGAAATCACAAGAACAATGAGGAAAAGGCTACAAAGAAGAAAAAAACCAAAAACAAAACAACAGACCATCAACCTTTATTTATGGCCACAGATGTTATAAAGCTTATTAGAATCCCCATAAAGAAATTAAAATAAGATGTCATTTCTTGCACCTGCCTTTCAATCACTCGGATACATTTTAATGTATTAGAGAACAGTTAAAATATATGACTAGGACATCTGGCATTTGTAATCCCATCCTGCTTGAAAAAAAGACATTTCACATTAACAGAGTTTTTTGCAACAGAGAAAACTAACACGAGTCATTTTTTTGAGAACAAGAGCACCTTACGAACAGCACCTGCCCATTCATGGTGCAGGGAGCTCCTGTGCCGGTTAGGCCAAATTGAAGCTTCTAAATCAGCTTTAGATGGACTCAAGAGTGAGCAAAGTTGTTTGGCATAGGTAGACAGATACCTGAGCCAATCGGTCCTATCCTGACAACCACCCTGCTGGGTAGGAGGCTGCTAAAGGAGGTGCTCGTCTCCCTTCCAGATCTCTGGGTGCCTGTAATCTGCTCTGGGAATGCCCAGCATTTTGGTGGTGTGCTCCCAAAGCCAGGGGCCTCTCCGTCAGGCAGCATGTTACTACTGGAAAGTAGGCTGCACTCAGTAAAAGGAACCAGAAGGGAGCATGCAGAGCTATTTTTTCCCCCATTAACCTAATCTTCTTTTCATTAAGCTATGTAAATCCTAAATTACATGAAAGCAATTGCTATAACTGGTTAAAACTAGTTTCTAAGTTAATGACACTGAAGCAATGTTGCAAACAGCTGACCCATTAACAGAAAAGTCTTTAACCAGAATACAGTTAATTTATAAGTACTACCATCATAAATCCATGACGCTTTTTTTGGGAAAATGTCCTGCTGCAGCGTTGCACAAGCATGTACTGGGGGGACACCCATACCAATGTCTCCTGATGAGGAAGTTTCTGATATCGAGTCAATATCTCAGACACGTTGAAAGGTTTCTTTCCACTTACCTATGGCTCTTCATACAGCATGTTGCAATCTTGTAGTGCCTAGGAGGCACATAACTAGAGGGCTGTTTTCATAGGCAAGCTCCAAGAACATATTTTGACAAAACGTTCCCCACGAACAGCAAAAAATAATAATAATTTAAAAAAATCTTTAATCTGTAAATGGGGAGTTTAGGAGCAATTTGTCCAAATCACAAAAATCTTTTTGCCCTTCTGAATTGCAGCAAGCCTTTCACAACAGAAGGACAACACTAATTTCAGGGCATGTTTACACATTGCAAAGACAAGACTGTACCCTGTGATGGCTTAATTTATCTAGCATGGGCAGCAATAGCAATAAAGAGTACAGCACAGACTTCAGGATGTGCTGACAATCAGAGCACAACCTCTCCAGGGATCCTGGGTGCGTCCTGTGGTTTCTGCCTTGTTCCCAGGCTGATGCTGTGGCAGTATCACTGCTATTGTTACCTGAGCACAGCTAAATGAAGCCAGCACAAATATCAGCCGGAGTTACAAGCACAGCCTTATAAAGCGGCACAGATGTACTCATGTCCTCTAGTTTAAAAAGCTGATATTTTTTCCCTCTCACACACTCAGACGCACATTCCATAAAAGTTTGCAACCTCACTAGTGCTGCCAAGGCAAGCATTCACAAGTTAGGAAATGCTGACCTTTATGATGCCTGAGCCCTAGAAATGGAAGTTGCGAGCTGGTCTTCTGAGAAACCCCTAATTCCTGCCTGAGCCCTAGAAATGGAAGTTGCGAGCTGGTCTTCTGAGAAACCCCTAATTCCTCAGTGCAGCCCTGCTCTTCTATAAGCCTTAGTGAGAAGGGTGAATACCCTTCCTTGGGGGTCCAGGGACAGCCCAGATATGCTGCACACACAGCTGAGGCAGAGAAGGTAAAAGGGATGGTGAGCCTTGTGCTGCCCACCCCTCCAACAAGAAGTCAGATTTCAGGCTGCCCTGTCCCTCGTCAGCACAGGGTGGTCTTGTATAAGGAGAGAACAGGCAGGGCACAGGCAGGACAAAAACAAACAGAAAGGCAGAGGGTATCACACTGAGCAATATGCAGGACAGAGTCCCTGCGGACCCCTGCCACTGACAGCAAGACTTTTGGTCAACCCCACACAACATCCCACAGTGACAAAATCATGTGGCTGACAGGGACCTCCTCTGTCTCAGCGCCACTCGTAATTTCACATGATGAGCAGAGGATTCGGTCATGTGCACTGGGTCCACTGAAAGGGGTAGGGAGGGCTAATAAAAAAAAATACAAAAATATCTTGAGACAGTGAAAAGCAAGAAGGTATTTCAAGTCTGAATACAGTACTCTGTGAGGTTGGGCACCCATCTCACATGCTCTCTGAAAAGTCTTTAGAGATGGGAAAAGGACTAGCAGCCATCTAGTCCTACTGCAAAAAATATTTAATACTGAACACACCTGGGAAGCACTGAACTGCAATGGCAGGGCATCCAGCCTTTTCTTTTTTTTAAAAAATGCTATTTGTGGTGAGGTCAGTGCTACAAAGCTATAAATTGGTTATATTATAAATGGGTTATTCTAAAAATATTATACTATAAGCAGAGATGCAATATAAAACAAAAATTAGACTTTAAATTCTGCTCTTTTTCTACGTTATGGTGGAAAAAGTGCTCTTTCTGTGTATTGTCAAAGAATATTAAATATCTGATTGTTTCAGACAGGGTCAATGCTTCCATTTATACTCATTTATCACTAAGAAAAGAATTCCTGAGCTTGCAAAAATCACTGAACAAAAACCCAAACCATAATAACAAATAAAAGTAACAATGTGATCTACTGGTTTTTTTTAAATTTAAATTGGGATTTGACAATTCTGAATTCTTGCAAAATAGATCTGAAACCCTTACTAATAAAGAAATATAGCACTTACTGTACCTCTTAGAAGACAGTTGTGCTGTGACTTGAACAGCTTCGAAAGCACATGATACCAGAACAAACGGGATTACAACCTGTTTAAAACAGAAGCTACATTTTGGTTTATAGCCATATTTACAAAACAACCTGGCAGGTTGTGGAAACATTTTCTTGCTTTTGAAATTATCACAGAATGTGTATGTTACAAAAATAAAATACTGGCAAGAAAAGGTAGAAACTCATTTTTCAGGAAGCACATTTTGTAAATTAATAAAAAGCCCCTTCCGTGGTCATAGCTGAACTGCAGTGAAATAAGCCATGAGGCAATATGGAAAACTATAATTAAAACACATTAATGATCCTCACTTCATTTATCCATTTTAGCACTAGTGATAAATACTTCAACAGGGCTAGAAGACAGAACTATTCACATCCAATATCTCGTGTGACAGGCTGCACAGCTCCAAGCATAATAGGACAATCTCATCTCAACCACAAAAAAATCTGAATATAGAATGTATTCAGTAAGGCAAGGATCACACTGCCCCTCCAAAGCCAAGTTAAGCAAATGTAAACAGTTCAGTAAATTAAGAACAAAACAAACAAGTTAGAAACATGAATGTTGCCTTTTGCTCTTTCCAAAGTTGACTTGCAATCCTTAAGTTAGTAATGTAAATGCACTGCTAAAACCGTTCTCTTGCATCCAGAAGGTCTGTGTTATTGACTTATGCCTTGCAGTAAACCTGTAACTTAAGTCTGCTTTCTCTGGGACAGAAGCAGCAGAAAGGCAGAGGCAGGAAATTCTGCTCGTTTTAGCAATAATCCATAAATTTCATGTTTCCCTTCGTGTTTGCCTCTTTACCCCTCTGGCAGATTGTTTACTCAAATATTAGAAAAGAGTTCCCGCACCTTGCCTGCACACAAGAAGTGCAATCCAATCTTTTATAGACTACTAAAAATAATAAAAAAAAATTCATTGTAAAATGGCCTTATCAGTAGAGCATTCAAAGTCTGTACTTAACGTAATGTAGATAGAGCTAATAGAATATATATATTCCCAATGTTTCTGTACATATTATACTACAGGGAAAGCTTTTAATTTTTTAAATAATGTAAGTCTTTTCAACATTTAAAATTTCCATTTTAATACAATAAATCGATTTAATGCAGTTAAATGATACTTCCATGCACTTTAGCTTCTCTCTTTTGGGAAACAGAAGGATCTGTCTCTAGAAACACTACAAAGGCTGAAAGTTTCACACATGGTTAAGAAGGCTAATGAAGTTCAAATACATATATATGTTTTTGTAAATTACAAACAACTACATACATGATAGGTTATTTATTAAACACTTATTTGAGAGAACTACACTAAGGTAAGATTACTAACCTTCAGCACAAGCAAGCCTCCCATCACGAAGGGACTGAACACAGTCACGAAACAATAGACAGATGCAGGATCAAAACTAGAGAAACATGAAAAGACATTACAACCTATCTTTGAAATGGCATTGTCCATTAAGAAAACAGAGCATTTAGTTACCCCTGTAACACACTGTGCATATACGCATTTTTAAACAAGGCTTCAAACTTTCTCATCTCCTGCTCAAATATTAAATTAGCAGGGACTGCCTACCTCACTTTTCTTTCTCTACAATTTTTCTCTGCTTGTGCCTTTCGAGGTGCCATGCTGTTAGTGAGCAGCCGAGCTCTCTCTGCTCACACTGCGAATAACTTCTAATAGAAATTGAGACAACCTTGTAACCAACAAGCTCAGGCTCTTAGGGAACATGTTACAGAGAGCAGAGGCAAAATAAATTATAATTATTCCACTGACTATTGCTTTAATTCTGCTGCCCTGATTTTGCCAACTAAATTTATATTTAGTACACCAACTGCAGGAAGAATTTTTTGTACCTTGTGCCTCAAATCAATGAGTAAAATATACCTGTTAACAGAAGCTATGTTTCCGGTGCCAAAAAAAGCTGTCACTATGAAGAAAATCTAGATGTATTTAAGGAAAACACACCACAGAAATGGCTGCAGTAAAACAAAACAAGCACCTTCCCCCCTTCATTCTAATTTACTTTCAAAATCCTACCATGAAACTAGAAGAAGCTGACCCACTATTATAGCTTTATACTGCAGTAAGAAATCCAAAGTATTATCTAGCTCTACCCAAGATTTCAGACATGACTATGTCAATTTTAAAAGACAGGGACTGCCTGGGTAAGATTTTAGAGCCTTGTCTTGAGGCCCCTGCCAGAAAGCTGCAGCTTGTTTTTTCTGGGCCCCTATCTAGCAAGACAGGAACATCCCTGGACCACAATCCCAGCTGTGCATTCAAACACACATGCTTTTGCAGAAAGTAATGACATATGCACACGTACTGCACACCAGAAGAGATGGTTTTATTGAGGAACTGACCGTGAAAGAAGTAGTTGGCTATGAAATCTTGTTTCATATGCTATCCCTTCCATAGGTTTGTTGTCCAAAGGTTATGCTGAGTCTGCCCATTGCAACACAGGACTCCCAGTTTTTTCCTTACTTGAGAGAGGGAGGATGACTCTGGCAGTATCTGTATAGCTGGAAGGTTAGTTTGTTTTTTGTTTATATAAAAACGCTACCCTTTCCTTCTAGGTACAACTCTTGCTGCTATACGAGCCCACAAAAGATGTTTTTCTACCTCCTGAGCTCATTGCAGCCCATTATAGCTCATTCAGTCGAAGAATGGGTTTTAACTGCTTTTTTTTGCATCAGGCAGAGGGTTAGTAAGTGAGGATAGCTGCTGTCGACAGAGCTCCCTCTGGTCCTTCCACTCCTGTTATAGGTCCTGCACTGGATCATTTAAGTCTCTGCATAAACAATTTGCTACCAACTGTTCAGCAGAATCGTTGGGATTCTGCATGCAATATTTTGGAAGGATATCAGGTCAGCATAACTAAAGAAATTATGCTTCCCAAGAGTATCACATCATTTCAAGTTTAGTAACACAGCAGTCTAACAGCATAGCACAGTTCTGCCAGTTAAGATTTATAAGAACAACAGTTCTGCAATAAAACAAAAAAATACCAGTAGCACATAGGTCTAATCAAAATGCTAAGCATAAGCAATCTGAATCTTCTTCTGGAAGATGAGGCTATAAGGTCCTTCAGCACATGCTGAGTTTTAGGCCCTATATAGGAACCTCAGGAGAGCCTTAAGATATACAGCTCACAGGGTCACAGTTGCAATGTGACCGCTTAGTAGAAATGGTTTCTCTTCTATTATCACTATTTCTAAACATTAAACAGCATCTAAATTAAAAAAGCCACAACATCTTTTGAGCAGGTGTGTATTACACCTGGTCTCTGCAAAGGAGACCTGCAAATTGTGTTTTTTTTCAGGAGCTGAACAAAATATATTCAAATGTTTTAGATTAAAATGAGATTAAAGTAGCGCTACATTCAAGTGTTAGACTGAAGTATGCCAGAGCTTTAAGAGATACAATTGGATTGTTTGATTTTTGTTTTGGCTAATTTTTAGCATCTGACAGACATCAGTAGCTTTACTAAAAGTTAGCTTATTTTTTGTTAAAATAGCAAATTAAATCAATAAATTTACTGTGTCTCAGCTGCTTTTCAGGTATACTCTAAAGCAAAACACAAATGTTCAACACCTAGCAAATTGTTTTACCTCCTTCCTTAGCGTTGAACTGCCTTGTTAATGAGGTATCTGTTACACTTCCTCTGCTGCAGGTTCCCAATGTCCAACAGCATTGTCCCAAATTCCAACAGCACAGACTCTGCGACTGTGATCCATCCTCAGATTTGGTTATTCTACGAACTATAAAGCTTGTCTTTGCAGGAACCAGTATTGAGACAACTCCCTCCCCAGCTCCAGCTACGATAACCCACTGGCACTAGAAACCGATATGTTCTAGACCAGCTTGTAATTTCTCTCCCACTTGCACACCCATCACCCTTGCTGCCCAATACCTCTCACTTAACTGCAGTCCCATGATGGAAGAGAAAGATGACAACGTTATCAAGTCTGTACAGTATTTAAAAAAAAATATTCAGCCCTAGTTTCACTTACAGTAATGCAAAATAACTACCATGTTAGTGAACAACCAGTTCTTCCCTCTCAAGCCCATATAATTTCTGACAACAGAAGCCATGTGTGAACATAAATAATTCTAGGCCAGATTCTGGGAACAGGTTTCACTAAGACTCTGCAGGAACTTTCCTTCTCATCTCATCTGCCTGGCCATGGTCAATGCCTGCATTTTCTTCCTAACACACTGCCATACTCATTAAAGTTATTCTTATTTTCTCATTTTTAATCACCTTTTCCAACTGATTTGTGAAGGTTGAATGAGTTCTTTCCAGCCAAAATGTAGTAAAAGAAAACCAACTGAAAACAGGACTCCTTAGAAGAAAGTTTACCTCAACTGTAATGGTCATAAGAGACCAAACTTTTCCAAGTGGCCAAGGAGCCAGATTCCAAAACAATGCAGTTCGTACTGAATTTTTTACTACTTTATCAAAAAACGTAACGTACAAACAAGACCATGGTCTTTTGAGCAAGATTAGTCCAATCATCTTCACCAGCTTCTTTTCCAGTGACTACCAGGCTACAAATTTTGATTACAGGGCCTTTTGAAACAAACCCATCTTTTCCCCAGAATGCAGCAAGTGGCAAAAGGATACAAAGAAGAAAGACCTGCGGATGTCATCTAGGTGGAGCTGTCGAAACTGAGTTATATCAGTAGCATAGGCGAAGTTGAAAGCAGCAAGCTGGAAAGACAGCAGAAGAAATCAATACCAAATATCAACTGATGTATTTTGATAGAACCACCATATTTTTACTGAAGCGAATGAGAAATAAATGTAATTCCCTATCAGCTGTTATTAGAGTAGTATTATGATGAGGACTGCAAACCTTTCGCATATTTTCATTATACTTTAATGAATCTGCCAAAAAGATTGTACAAGTGAGATGATCAAATGAACAGTGAAACTTCTGCTGTTATCTACACTAAAAATGAACTTCTATGCCTTAGACTTATCATCTTTTGTCATCATAAATATTCCTCCTCCACACACGCACTTCCACTGCTCACATGAACATGTGGATAACAACCCACAGAAATAAAAGACTGCAATTATCCTCAGTTGACTTATGCTGTGAGTAAGAATACTAAAATATTCTCCATCTCCTTCACTCAGTTCTCAGCACAATATCACTTGACCTGAAAAGAAATTGTCTTCATGGAGTTTAAGAGGTCAATGATCTCCTTTTCACCGGAGAAAAGAAAAAATTCAAGTAATAGACATTCAACACTGACAACATTTTAATTAAAAATAATCTCACATCATCAGAGAACTGAGCTGGATTCTGTAATACATGATTTACTTTGTGGCATATATTAACAGGCATTCTAGAGATGAATTTTCTAATCTAAAAACAGGAAGCAGGGGTAGGCATTATTGTCACTTTCACTTGAAGCCAAAAGTCAAATGACATACAGGGATTGACAACAGAAAACTTAATTACAGCTTACCTATATTCTTTTCATTTGCATTCTATTAATAAAGTGTTCATCATTGATTAATACTGCTTTAATAGAATTTTATTTTAAAACAAACAGAACATCAGACCACCATCAGACAAGGCAAGCATCACAGATGCCTTGTTACAAGATGCAAAAGGTAGAGTAGGTTCCAGAGTGGAAGAGAAAATATATCCCACACATGACTCTGCTGTGCTAGAAACTTCCAGTTGCGTACATTTTTACATTCAGATTCCTTCTCTATCTCTTAAGATGCTATAAAACACGCTTACACAAGATATTGTAACTATGTGTAGCATAAAGAACAAGTGACTCCCATTTTAATTTCTGATACTCAGCTTGGAATTGGTAAAGCCTGTTCTCTCTCAAGTCTTACAATCATCTCCCTTGCATGAGTACCACAAAACCACAGGTGTATCAGGTTTCGGATTTGCATTTCAGATCTAACCAATTCAGTGGCATAGCCACAGTTTGTTAAATCTAAAAGCTAAGTAGCTGTGAGAGCAGCATGGGCACTGAAAATTGCCAACAACATACTAAATTTTAACATGAAAGAAACTGCATTGATTACAAAACTCCCTCTCCAGGCAAATTTGAGAAGGTGCTAGTTCCAAGTGAGTCTCTGGCTCCTTGTCTGTCTAATCAGAAACAAAACTCCATCCTCGAAGAAAGAGTGGAAGGACAAGGTCAAACTAAGATTTCTGGTATTTCCTATGGGTCATTTCAGAAATCAAGTTCTTTCTTTTCAGCCTCTCACTTGTGACTCTGCTATCAGAATAATAATAATAAAAAAGTACAGCGACATTGTACTTACTCTAAAGATCTACTGTACCTTATGCGGAATTAGCACTACATTTCGTAAACAGAGCTTTGTAGCCTACAGAACATACCAAGATCTCCTGCATTCCTAGAAACGGCTCTGATGTGGAATATCTTCAATAACATAACTTATAAATCTCTCTTACAAGGTCACATTCCTATTTCATAAAAAAAGCTGATACTGGCTTCCCAAATTTAAAGAAATGCAAAGTGTTGCTCTATGAAAATCACTGAGAATATTTATTATATCCTCAAGGAAAAAAAAAAGATAAAATTGGTAATTAACCTGATAAAGCTATCTGGAGCTGTTACCTTTGGTTTCAGTGAAAGACCATAGTGCTGCAGTGCCTCTTGCTCCATGTTTATCCACACAAACATCAAACCAGACAGCACCAGTGGAAACAGAGCTTCATACCTGAAGAGTAACATAATAATCATAGTAAGTGCAGTCACTAACAACTATTTAACATTAAATACCGACATATTTCTTTTCCTTTTTCTTCACACAAACGATATACCAGAGACCTAGTGGCATTCTCTCCCTTCTCTCCCCATTTCTGAGGAGTACCCACAGCTGGTTGGTTGAAGTTTAAAGCCATACAGTAATTAAATGGTAAAGTTAGGAGAAAGAGAGGCTGCTTCAGCTTTGTCATGTTTTGCACCCATTTGATGGCTGTCACAACACTGGATGAGCACCCTTTGTGCCACGATTAACAAAACTGGAATACAATTAAAAAGAAATAGGAAAAAAAAAATCACATTTCACACCCATTTTCTGCAAAATGGAAAATTTCATAATGACTTATTTGGAACTGAGAGGTTACAGTCCAATCTAGACAGCAACTAGAGATTGTGTCTCTTTAGGACCTAATCACATAAACTTATTCTGGTGATCTTAGTCTAGTTCCAAGGAGACAGGCACCTGTATAATAAAAGGAGTGTTACATTTCACTGAAGTGATATATCTTTTTCTTTACTATATACCAATGCATCGCAATAACAGCATTGTCACGCTCTAACCAAGGCTGTTAAGCTGTTCTAGCTACACCCCCAGTCTCAGAGGATTACTTCTGGCTCCTACAGCACTCAAACACAGCAAACTATGAGTGTACTTACATAAGAGATTAAACCGTCCAGATAACTTAGGGGTGTAGACTGTCATTGGATAATACTAGTTTCTCCTTGCCCTCCACATCTCAGTCACACTTCATGGTGCCTCTCAGATTTTTTTTCTTTCAGGATAGAACTATAATACTGACACTGGCTGTGACACTAATACTGACAAGATTGTAAATTTTTTCCTTTTTATTTTTTTCCTTAGACACACACTTACTTGTCTAAAAATAAGAAAATCATTGCAGTTAATCTTGGTATTGTTTCTGTTGCGCCTCCCCACTAGTGTAGGTACGGGGCAGTTTCAAACTGGCACAAAAAAATTTGGGTAGACATTTCTGCTTTATTTACCAGCATGACAAGCAGTTAAACACGAAGACAACGGTTGGGTTGTCAGTAACAAAAATACCTACAGTCCTCACAGTGGTCTACACTTGCCTATAAATTGAATGTCTTGAACCAAGCCAGTGACAACTGGTTGTATGCAACCATGCCCTTCAGCTGGGTCCAATACTTCCACCTCGCTGCACCAAGAGAGGTGCTGTAATTAGCTGGGCAATGCACTGGGTTATCATTACATGGTATAACAGAGGACTGAGGAGAGAAATGCTGGGTATGTTTGGCAGCAAGTGCCTTGTTTTTATGATGACTGGTTGTTTTGGGGTTTTGTTTGGTTGTGGTTTTTTGTTTGGTTTGGGGTTTTTTTTTGTTGGTTTTTTGTTTGTTTTAAAAGAATTGTTCCAAAATTTATTGGTCTATTTGAACATTGTAGGAAGACAGCAGAGAGCTGTCAGCGTTTAAGTGGTGTGCTGCAGGGCCAAAATACAAAGAGGGCGGTTACCAGCCTCAGAGAGAACAACATTCATGCTTGATCCAGTAGCCAGGACAGGCTAAGAAGGTTGAGTGTAAGAGTGTGTGTGCGGACAGGAGTAAGATTAGGATGAAAATCTTAATGTGGAAGTGGAAGGAAGAGGAGGCAGAAGATTAAAAAAAGAAAAAAAAAGATTTCCTTAATCTAAAACAAGAATATCCACAAGAGGCAGCTATTCCAAAATGTCTGCTGCAAGATATTTTATTCCACTTAATTTTCCAGTGTAATTAAACCCAGAGGATAAGTGGGAGGAGATGCAGAAAGAATGGCTCCTATACTCCCCATTAATTATGTTCTTAAGAGCTACTGAGTCTGGAAAAAAAAAAAAGGGCTGGCTGAGACAGTGTTTTCTTCAGTTACAAGCTCTGAGGAGTTGTCTTTCATCCAAAAAGCAGCAAGACCTACCCTTTATGGGGACTAGCATCCCTTTGAAAAAATTTACTTTCATGAAAATCTCTGAATAAAATTTTCCCTCATTTTGGGGCTACCTATTTCCTGTCACATATCATTTAAGCCATAACTAGACACTAGTGCTGAGCAGCTTGGGGAGAAGTTATATCCTTTTGTTTGTGAGGAGAAAAGCACATGCCACAACAACAAAAGACATGCACCAAAATAAGAAAGTCTGGGTTTAGTGTAAGACTGTTTGAATATATACCCTTCCAGACACTGCTTGGTCTAGCTGAAAGGAATGTCAACAAAACGGTGTTTATAATACAAGGAGGAATATGGAAGTTCTCATGAAATTTTATTTAGGAAACTAAACAAGGAGATAAATGGTAAGACTACAGCTGGAAGCACATGTTACACCTTTAACAGAAACATCCACGAGATTCAGTAGTTTCACATTTAGCCCTTGATTTTCATATGTAAGACCAATCCGAACAAAGTAAGAAACAAGTACCCTGTGCTGAGGAGCAGGTAGGTGGACATCAGGGAAAGCAATATGCTGAACAGTCGCTGAAAGAGAAATGTGGGGCTCAGTAACGGCAACATTGAGGAAGAAACTGCAATAAAAAGAGATCCGTCAGTCACTACATGCAGAACATTTCACCCTCGGTAACAAGATAACATTCTTCAAATCTTGACACTTTATATACAGAAATTCAATACTGGTCGTATATGCCCTTCTATTTTCAGAAGTTTTGCTAAAGAAAATCCAATGTTTGGAATGCTTAATAGTTATCAAAAGTCATTTCAGTTCTCTATCATTTCAATTCTCTGGCTTTCTACCTCACAGCCTTTATAATTTCTCAAGAACTGATGTTAATAATTCCTTAAGATGATGCAGAAGCACTACCCCAAAAAAACAGTCAAACTTGACTGTTTAATACTACTCTGAGAACCACTTTCCATGGCCCTGAGGATCTCCAGCAGCTCAAAGACTGCATTTACAGAGCCACTGCTCCATTGGATTAGATTTGGAAACCTGCCACATTTTGAGATGCAACTGAAAATACTGGTAGTAAAGACACAGAAACTATCAGCTTATTAGCTTCTCTACTTAAAAGTTTTAAAACAGGAATATTTAAGGAACTACAGGGGACCTATCTGTCACGATTCATGTCTCTTGTCTTCAACTTGAAAAGTGTTTCTCTAATGCAGGTGTGGGATCTTAAGATTTGCATGCTGCTCCTTAGTGCAGTCCATTGCTCAGCTGTCCAGTGAGCCTTGGTTAGCAGACTCCATGCTGCCCCTACAGAGACTCCTCTAGCTGGGAAACTTCTGCAGGTGAGGAGAGGGCCCAAGAGTTTGCAGGAGGTGAGGAAAATTGGGAAGAGAGAAAATGGGCTACTGGAAGAATGAGTAAAGAGGAAGAAAAGCAGAGGAAAAGTGGCCAGTGCTTGAAGTAAAGAAAGGGAGAAGGAGAAGCACTGCTGTGATTTAATCTTTAAACCCGATCTTTTTCATACGAACATTTTATGTGCTTACAAAGAAGCGTGCTGACAAACAACATTGCTGTGATTCTTCATTGTGGTATAGTGCCCTCACATTACTGAATCAAAGACTGCATCAACAGTAAGTCATAATTAATAATCACTCTATTAAGGAACAGAAATAAAACTATAATAAATGGAAAGTGCTCACTTGTGCTTATTGTCATGGTATACATTAGCATTCATAGTAAACATACCAAAGAGAGATGAGGCTGTTTCTAAAACCTGTGGGTCATTGTGTTTTATTTCCTGGCTTTCAGCATTGGCCACTGCTACAATCAGAGTAAATGTCTTAATTTCAAGGGTGCTCCAGCCTTTCAGCATCATTAGTAGCTTTCTCTACTTAAAGAAGGCCCAACTCAAGGAGGAACTCCAGGGACCTCACTGCAAGTCAGAATGGCTGGAAAGAAATTCAGCATGGCAACCAGCCTCTGTGAATGACACTCAACATATCAGATGTGTATCACTCTCTGAGCATAATCATAGATGAGAACAGATGAGTGGCTGGTAAGCGATAATAAGCCTTTCCCTTCCATCTCTGATGTGACACATCAGATATTAACCATCAAAAGACCTGCAGGTTTCTGGCTGACCTATACAAATCTCTGTATGTGCCCCCCGCACACAGTTGCAATGCCAAATTCCTCAAAATTCGGTAAGTTGCTATGATAGATTTCCAGTGATGAAAATTTTAAAATATAATATACATTCCTTTAGAAATACCTTCTCACATAAAGATGGTTCTGAAGAACATGCGAAGCAGCTGGATTAACTTCATGCTTCCTGGTTTTACGTCTGTTTGTGGTTAATGTACACTGCACAAACCATACTGTGTAACGACTAAAGCTAGCTGGACACAGGCCTGCAGGAACCCACCCATTACTAATTCATCTGCCTGGCTCTCCAAAAAACAGTCTGTCTTCAAAAAATAATTCTAGGCCTAAATTAAAACTTTAAACAAGGTAGGCTTCATATTAATCAGAATGAATAGCTGGGGAGTGGAGAACAATTTGCTAGAAAACTTCAGAAGTCTTATTATCATACTCATAACACTCATATGAGTATTATTATGAATAGATACTGATAACTGTGTTTCCAGTTATATAAACACACACAGTGGTGCAAAATGAGAGTTCAGTAACAGTGCCATTCTTCCACAGCTAAGCAAAAAGATGAAGAGGAGGTTTGACCACCTGTAATGCCACCAACGTTGGAAAAGCTACAGTGAACCTTGGTACCTTAATTCTTATGGTACCACCTTTGCGGTACACACTAGTGACAAGGCAGATGCTAGTTGTCATTATGGTAGTGACAAGGCATTTCTCTCCAACAGGAGTATTGGGGACATGTTGTTGGATGCCTTAAGCTTTCTACCTGCTTAGTTCTGTGTTTAATTATGTAGAACAATTTCAGCAAGTACATAAAGCTCGTACCTTGTATATCATACTCACTTAAAATGATTATTTCCAGTCTGAAAGACTTCGCTAAAATATTCAATACTACCATGGCAGCAAGTAGACTTTCTGGGTACATACAGTTTACTTCACTGTTAGCTTTATTTTTACCATAGAAACATCACCTACAGCAAAGAGAATTTCTAATATACTTTTTCCTCATAACTCTATACCTCTCTGACCACCCAAATAATCTCTTAGATGAAAAATATTTTTCTCTCACCCTTATAGAGGAGAGAAAGATAACCTTTACTCTCAATTCCTGCTCCAGTAAGCCAAGCAGGACATCATTGATTTCATTGACTATATAACTGCAACGAATTCATCCACACAGAGATCCCCACTCAGCTTCGCAGGCTATGAAGAGTTAGGAAAGCATCATGGGAAGGAAAATACTCCAAAGAAAACTACATTACAAAGAGAGCATTGCTCACACACACTGATAATGAGCAGTTGTATTAATCTTGAATCCATTTCCTTAAAGAGAACCAGGATTTCTAAAACTGACAAGAAATTATTTTATAGTTGAAATATGAAAGATATTGCTTTACTGTATTCTGTAACCCCAGTGATAATTACATTTGTTCTGTTCAATCATCCTAAGATTTTGATTTTAGACTGGTGAAAAATCCATAGACTTGTAAATTGTTTTTTTCTTTAATAATTAGAGTCTAACAGATATCAAATATGTATTAGCATCCTTAGTTCGCAGGTATTTTTTGCAAGGCAGCTCTGAAAAGCACTTCCATACCCCAAGGGTCTCCACCATCAGCTGCAACTTCAAGTTTCTATTGAAATACAGTAACAACCTTTCCTTACTTCCCTAAGCTCTACTGGATTGCTTGCAGAACATCTCAGATCACCCTTATCTGGCTCCAAGCGAAACAAAAAGGGAATTTATACCATTATATCCCTAAAAGAGGTCTTCAACATATTCAGAATATTGAAAACAAAAGATAAACCTACTTGTGAATCAAGGTTGTTTGCAATTTATTACAAACCTACAAAGGATTAATATTTTAGAAGATTTTCTAACACATTCCTGAAAAAACCCTCACTTAGCAAAGAACAGTCAACACATAGAAAAACTATTAGCAGTCAAATAAAGGAATATGTGCAAAAGTAAGATGTTAATAAAAAAGTATCACCACCCTCCACCCAACCCCAAACCCCACAAACTATCAGCATACAAGTTTGGGAGGGAAGATGTTCTTACCTAGAGTCATCCAGCTAATAATTTGATTCAATACAGGCAAACCCTGTTTGTTCTCTAGACTGTCATGGGTACTGCTCACAACATATGTCGAAAGTGCAATACTCAACATCTAGAAAGAAGAAATCAGACAATGAAACACATAATTAATGTATGGATCTCTGCCATCCCATACTAAATATGTAAATATGCTTTAGAGTTGCATAAACACCTGATCTGAATCAACATAATAACAGGAAGTCTGATATGTAGTGTCAAGTATTTCTAGCTTTTTATAACTCACACATTTTAAAACTTCCTTCTAGGTTTTTTTTAAATTATTATTATTATTTATTTGTGCTATTTTAAAATAGTTTAAACAAGTGCCCTGGATCACTGATTTGACATGATATGCTCTTTGTCAAGTAAGCAGTCATGTAAACCACAGAAAACATATGAAAAAAAAAAAAACCACAAACAGAAAACCCAGTTTTTCGAGGAGCACTTGTCCTCAGACAGCAACCACGAAGAACTAGCAGCACCTCTGGCTTTGCTGCACAATCAGGTACAGCTGAAAGGTAGTTAAGGCAAGCGCTATGCATGGGCAGCACAGCTCCTGTAAGATGAGACAGCACCAGCAGAGCAGACTCGAGGTGGATTTTATGAGATGGAAAGAAGCTGCAATTTCAGCTGACTGTTCAAATGAAACTGTATGAACCACCCTCAAGCAGAGCCCTCTGCCTCAGAGAAGCGGTGAAGCTGAAGAGTTTTGGTGTTTTGTTTTTTTTTTCCCCTTGACTAATTCAAGATACACCATTCAGTCATCAAGTAGGTACAAAAAACCTTAGGAAAATTACCCCATTAGTCAGTTATTTTTGAAAGATGACAATTATCCAAGAAAATGTTTGAGCCAAGTTTTCAATTACTGCTATTTATTCACAACTCCGCAGTTCCACTAAAAGGTAAATCAAGCATACATGCTACTTTGCAAACATATACTTTAAAACTGCATTACAAGATAGAATTGCTGTTGTGGTTTTTTTAGTGCAAAGCAACTACACAGTGTTCACATCCATCATTTTTTTACCATATGAATAGCTGCCATTCCCCTGCCAGACACAGTGATACCAAGTAGTACCTGCCCAGAGGATACACTTAGCAGTCAGCAGCCTTTTTTGGCCTAGTTTCACAGGTGCTCAGTATCTGCTCCTTCTATTTAATTTCAGGAACATGTAACTTGTATTTCTATGTGACATCAATAAGGTAGGTCAAAGGATTAAGCCTCCAAAAGCTCAGGGAACTGGCCCTTTTAGACCTCTGATGTTTACTTGGGATGCTTTTGCTGTATTCAGGCCAGATCTCTCCCCTTTGATATATCTTTTCAACTTCTTTTAGTGTCATGAGCTCTGGTAATCCCTCTGCTATCCCCTAGCCACTGGTGAAGTCACTCTGCACTCGCTTTGTGTCAACTCCCATAATGTATCTTGTGCCTTGGAAGACTAGTGATGACCTGGGCATACTAGTAAATCCATTTTACTGCTGCAATATCTATGACAGTGTCCAGGGAAGGGCTCAGCATCTGCTTTTGAGACTCCTATCTTTGCAGTTTAAGTAACATTCAAAGTGCTCTTGGCGTTCACCAACATCTCCAGGACTGTGGAACAGCACAGAAGCAACTTGGAGATGCCAACTGAGGTCTCCAGCTAAGAATCTGTCTTCTTTCCCCTTTCACAACCTTCTTTGAAGTTCAGAGATTATTCTCGAACAGCTTAAGAGTGGGCCTCAGAAACACTCATCTGTAGGTCACAGCTAGAAAGAGGAAACAGAGGGTGACATCCACAAGTCCCAACACCTCTTCACCAGCAGCTCTGGCTGGGAGCTCTCCTCAACATCTAACACGGTAACAATGATAGATGGAACAGTAGGAGAACCAGCATCATCAGCTACACACTATATACAAGGCTGGTTGAAAACACTCCTCCTGTCCCCTAGTTCCACTGATATGGTATGGACTCTTACTATTTATTTCTCCTCCTAATTTAGAGGAGAAAACTAATACACTGACCACCTTGGACCCACATGAAGTTCAAGCCTCCCATGAACAGTAACATGGCCCAACATTATCAACCAAGAGAAACAGCAGAGTTTTCAGTAGTGCAGCAAAAACTGGACTTCACCTGTGAAACTGCTGGCAAGGAGAAACTGGTGCTCTCTCCAGCAAAAAAATTAAGTTGTACAGTAAGCACTGCAGCAGTCTAGCCAATGGATTATAAATAACTCCTGTTTTTACCATTCCTGAAGCCTTAATGACTTCTCAAAGATCACAGAATCATTTAGGCTGGAAAAGACCTCTAAACTCATCGAGTCCAACAGTAAACCTAGCATGGCGAAGACCACCACAAAACCATGTCCCTAAGCGGCAGTCTACACAAATGCCTCCAGGGATGGTAACTCAACCACTTCCCTGGGCAGCCTGTTCCAGCGCTTGATAACCCTTTCAGTGAAGAAATTTTTCCTAATATCCAATCTAAACCTCCCCTGGTGCAACTCAAGGCTCTTTCCTCTCGTCCTATCGCTTATTGCTTGGGAAAAGAGACTGACATCCACCTCACTAGAAGACAGAAGTAGCATGAACCAAAAGACAATTCTCTTTACCACAGCAAACAAAATTCAGCAAAAAAGTGTTATTCCTGCTTTAATGATATCAAGAGAAAACCTGAGAAACTCTTGGCAATTTTCAGAAACTGTGAAGGTGTAATTAGTATCTTCTGTCTCAAGCAAACAGTGACATGTATTAAAACTTCAAAATGAGGTCTAAACATAACTGAAGTTTTTGTAACAGAAATGTAAATGTAATCATATAAAGTTAATCAAGCTTGCATTTTCACTTTAAAGAAATTATTTATACACTTTTGCTGAAAAATCTTTTCGATCACGCTGTTTGGTTGTCTGGTACTTTTCTGTTTCTTTAAGGCTAATACCCATGTTGGAAATCTATAGAGTGTAGGAAGAAAACCCCAAAAACCAGTGAATAAATGAGTAGCCTGTAAATGGCTGCTCAGATCCATACAGGTATGTAGTTCATACTCATTTGCTTAAGTGTACACTCTGTCCCATCCATGGAGAAATCAACACAAAAATACATAATTCAGAGCCAGATCGGAGTAAATTATCTTTTCTGTGGAAGACTACATGCAAACTGGCAGGTTTTTTGCCTACTCTGATGTTCTCTGCCAACTCAGGTTTCTTTTTGACCAAAAAGAGAGCAAACGTAATGGAACAAACTTTGTTCCTTACCAGGCATGATTATCTTCACTACAGGCTAATTCCCAGATGGAAAAGGAAGCTCACTTGGACAAGAAAGAAGAAAGTTGTCTTTAGAAGAGAAAAAAAATCATCATAAGCACAACAAAAAAGCCTAAGCTATGGTGAATCCCTCTCTTTCTCTGACCAAAGTAAGAAGAGAATTGAAAAGGGAAGTATCTTTATTCAGATGCAATTCCAAAATAACTTGTGAAGAACAACTCAGGCAAATAAGAACTATTTGAGCTTTTGGGAAATATTATCTTATTTCTTGTAAGAAAATGCACTTCATCCCAAAAAAGCAGATGCAAAAATTTGAGGTGAGGTGAAATGAAAGATTTAAAAGAAGGTTCTTGCACATAGACACTACCAAAACAAAGAGGGGAAAAAGGAACGGG